CCCTCCACCTGGCGCAGCCAAGAAATCCGCCCGCCGCTCCCCCTCTCCCAGCCTCTGAGAGGTGGCGGTTCTCTGGGAGCACACGTGGAAGCGATGCCGCCTGCCCTCCGAGTGTGGGACAGCACACCTGCCGTGACTCCCCTCTCTCCAAAGAGCTTCCACCGAGCAATCACTGGAAAGACCCAAATTCCAGGATTTGAGGCTCTTTGAATGTTGCTGTGATGCACCTCGTTCAACCAGACATATCCCTGGGAACGATTCAGCCCCAAAATCTCCCTCCCTTTTTGGGTTGAAAACCGGTCCAGCAGCAGCAGCAGGAGGCTGCCCTTGCCCGTGCGAGCCACCTCGCTCTGTCCTGAGCTGAGCTCACACCTCCAGAGAGGTGTCTGTGCCACATTTGTCTCTCTGCAGGGGCTTCAACAACCAACAGCACAGAAAACAGAGCTGCCCACGGGAGAGGCTGGCTGGGGCAGCTGATCCCTGGCTCGGCGGCGCTTCTCGTGCCGACCTAGACGTGACTGCCGCCGCGCCCACTCCAGTGCACCTCCCTACTTTACTGCCAGCCGCTGCTGACGGAGCGCAGCCCTGCACGGGGGCTTCGTCCGCAAGCTCTGTGCTACCTCCTTCCCACCTGGGGACAGAAGAAGCCGCAGGACGGGTCATTCCCCGAGAGGGGAGTTACCGACGAGCCCCCGCACGGAACGGACACTGAGCGCTCCACAGTGAGCCCTACCACCCCGGGAGCCGGGCCGAGCCGAGCCCCAACCAGCCACCGCAGCCCCCCGGACGCCCGCACACCTCCGGCTACTGCCGGTCCCGCGCCGTCCTCTGCAACCCCCGCGACCGCCACTTCGCCACAGAGCGGCGCGTGCTCAAAGCGGGCGCAGAAGGCGCGTGCGCGCAACGGGCGCGCGATAAGAGGCGCTGGGAGAGGGGCCGGCGCCAGCCGGGAGCTCTTGGCTCTGAGCTGTTTTGGGTGCGGGTTTTGGGGCACTGCGCACACCCTCCCTTGGTAACAGCCCCGCCCCAGTTCGCTGCACCCAGGTGCACTCCCCGCACCTCTTGCTCAGCTCCGCGGGGATTTGTGCCTCCTCTGAAGGTGGCAAATGTCTCCAAAACGAGTCGGGAAGCCACTCCCCGTCTTTCTTTTCCAGCCTTTTCTGCCCAGCACCGCAGTGGTCGAAAAGGAAACCAAAAACCCGGGAAAAAAACACCCCAAAATCGCACGGTGCCAACTCCCAGCTCCTCCCACTAAGCCCCGAGAACTGCAGCCCCTGGGCCCCGCCGCGGCTTCCCCGCCGTCACCCGACACCTCCCGCACGTCCCGCCCCGCAGCGCCGCTCCCGCTGCCGCCCTCGAACACAAGGAACAACCCCCCTTGCCCCCAGCACAGGCCGGTCCCTCCCCGGCAGCCTCGGCAGCGCCGGGAGCGGCCGCAGCCCCCAACGACGGGCGGGGCGCGCCGGGAGGGGCCGCGCCGGGCGGGGGCGGGTCCCGCAGCTGCGACCCCGCGGGGAAGA